TGCCCTTCGGTACATTGCTCCACGCCGTGTTGGTTGGTGCAGTACTGCCAGTGCGCCGACTGGCGCGCGGGGTGCGCGTCGCCGCGCGTGGCACGGGTGGCTCGAGAGGCGCGGCCGTCGGTCAACCCCGCGGCGCATGGGCGCCGCGGAAGCTGCTCGACAGGCTGCGGGCATCGTTGCGGCAAAAAGCGCCCGCCCTCTGCTTTGCTTTCGCCCGCGTTTTACGACAACTTTCGGTTTATCATAGCCGCCGAACTTTACCTCGCTTTTTCTTTATAGGCGTCTCGCAGCTGCGTATTCTGACTCGTATTCTCGTATTCTCGTCGCGCAGTATGATATTGCGTGGAGGCGGTTGTATTCTCGTATCACTAGCTCCGAGTAGAGGGGGCGTTCTGCAGTTAAGGGGAAACCTGGTACACGGAACCAACCCTCGGAGAGTATTCTTTAGCTCCGAGTAGAGGGGGCGTCCTGCAGTTAAGGGGAATCCCGGTACGCGGGGCCAACCCTCGGAGACCCGTGTTATGGCCCTGCGACCGCGCACCCCCCAGGGCTAGGGCTCTCTTGCCCGCAACCCGATCCCGATCATCCGGCCCGCTGGGTGTGCTTCTTAGCTCCCCCCGCCCGGCCCTGGATGTGCGGGGTTAATGACTGCACTCCAAGTGCTCCAAGAGTACTTGGGCGAGTAGGCCGTGCGGACTGCGGTCGACGCTGCCGCGCGCGACTTTGCGCGCGAGGCGGCGCGTGGCCGTTCTTGTGGTCGAAGGGTTTTTGTTTTTCTGTGGAAAGCTGGATGCTTCCGGCGCTCGGTGTGAGAGAGATTTTTAGATGTGTGCATACTAAAGACAGAAAGAAAAACAAAGGGAGGGATGGGAGGACGGCACGCCGCCACCACACAGGGATTTTAAGGAGAGGAGTGTGGCATACTAACAAGGTGTTTCTTCTACTGTTCTTTTGTTCGGCGCTAGGTGAACGCCCCTTACCTGTGTGCTATGCTGTCTGAGGGCACACGGCGAGCGCAGCTGCTTCACGATCAGGCTGGCCAGGACCAGGGATCGGGAGGCGCGGCGGGAGGGGACACGGACACTCTGGGCCGCGTGCAGGACCAACTCGGGGCTGTGCAAAATGTCATGCGGCAAAACGTGGATCAGATGCTGACAAACATCGAGCACGCTCAGACTCTCGAGACGTCATCCGCCGAGCTCTCCTCCAACGCGCGCGCGTTCCAAAGTGCCGGGCGCCGCGTGCGCAAACAGATGTGGTGGCAGAATTTGAAGATGAAGCTCTA